AAAAACAAAATGTTATTTTGTTCTCTCTTTAGTCATTTAACTAATTAATTAACTTAGCTTCCAGCCTTCCACCAATCCACCATAACCTATCCACTTTCTATTTTTTAAGGATCGAAATTAGAAATTTGGAATATATAGTCATAAAATTATAGTTATATCGAATAACAATAACTCTAAGAAATTAAAATGGATGAACAAAAGATTCCCTTTCTAAAAAACTACAATCATTCAGATAATGAAGCAATTCAATCATCTAAGCAATTATTGCAACATAATCTTACACCGAATTATCAAGTTGGAAATCAAGAAGATGATTTTGTTGAACACACAAGTCTTGTTAAAAGAGTATGGGTTGAATCCACGAAGTTATGGCACGTCGTTGGTCCTTCTATCATCGCTCGTATCTCTGCCTACACTATGCTGGTTGCCGGTCAAGCTTTCGCCGGCCACCTTGGTGACCTTGAGCTTGCTGCTGTCTCCATTGCTTGCAATGTTATTGTTGGCTTCGACTATGGACTCATGGTAATTATTACAATACAAACTTTAACGTACTGTCTAATGCAATGTGTAGCATGTATATATGTGACGTTACTGTATTCTAATATGAATATGGCGTTAAAAAAAAAAATTACAAATACAAATATGATGTACAGTTTGCTAAATATATACCCTAAATTTTTCGTGATTTTACTTCTATTAAATGGATCTGAACAACTAAATCCGATATAAATGAATGATGATTAATGAGTTTTTGTTTGTATTTTAATTTTAATGCATGATGCGCATATACAAGTTAAGTGTAATAATATATGTAACACGTACTATTATAATTTTTTTTTTCTTAAGCTTAGAAAATGTAACATATTACTAACAAAAATGATTTATTTTTTCGATATGTTTACTACTTTTTAAATAGTTGGGAATGGCAAGTGCATTGGAGACGCTTTGTGGACAAGCATATGGAGCAAAAAAATACCATATGTTAGGAATATACATGCAAAGATCATGGATAGTATTATTCATATGTTGCATCCTTATGTTACCGTGGTACATATTTTCCTCCCCTATGTTAAAACTATTAGGCCAACCGGACAACGTGGCCGAGTTAGCCGGGGAGGTGACCCGATGGTTGTTGCCACTTCACTTCAGCTATGCCTTTCAATTTCCGTTACAAAGGTTCCTGCAGTGCCAGCTTAAGGCCGGTGTCGTGGCGTGGGTCTCAGTGGTTGCACTGGTGGTGCAATTATTTACGTCTTGGTTGTTTGTGTCCGTGTTCAAGTGTGGTGTGATTGGTATTGCCATGAGCCAGAATTTAGGATGGTGGGTTTTGGTTATTGGGCTGTTTGGTTACACTGCTTTGGGTGGGTGTCCTCTTACTTGGGCTGGTTTTTCAATGGAGGCTTTTTCTGGTCTTTGGGAATTTGTTAAGCTTTCCTCTGCTTCCGGGGTCATGATTAGGTAATAATCCTTGTTTTGATATCTAGTCGTTTCATTTTGACTTTTTACATTGTTCAGGTGTTAACCTGATTTATTTTACATGTATAATAAATGTTACGCTAATAATGTAACGTGTATGTAAGTAAAGTCGGTTGCATAGCTTCATATGCTTTCTTATAGAAGGAAATATATAGATATAAAATTGATATATGTTGATTATGAACAGCTTGGAGAACTGGTACTACAGAATATTGATATTGATAACGGGAAATCTGAAGAATGCAGAGATAGCCCTCGATGCTTTAACTATATGGTATGATTCTAGTACTCATATAGTCTTATTATATGTCATAATGTCAAGGCTTGTCTTTTAATTAGTCCAACATTTTATTAAAGGTGTATAAAAGCTCAATGCTCCGTATATTGGAGTTGTTCCTAAAGTAATAAGATGTTAACAAACAAACAAAAACATATGGTTTTGTTAAATTTAATACAATGGCTGTACAATTGTACCAGCTTGAGCATCAACGGATGGGAGATGATGATTCCTTTCGCATTCTTTGCTGGCACTGGGTAAGTTCGTGTGCTATGTAACAAATTTGACCCGACTTAAATTCAAAATGTATTCAATATTTGACAAATTAAAATTGTATTTTATATTTTTGCACTATATGCATATTTAATTTTCTTAATTTTTGATCCATTATGCAAACTTTTGAATTATTGTTACGAAACAAGTTGATGAAAGTATGGTAAATATGGACAGAGTAAGGGTAGCAAATGAGCTAGGAGCAAGGAATGGAAAAGGAGCTAAATTTGCAACAATAGTCTCAGTAACAACGTCCTTAGCAATTGGGCTTTTCTTTTGCCTGCTTGTTTTGATTTTTCATAACAAGTTGGCTTATATTTTCTCAACTAGCCAACCCGTCGTTGAGGAGGTTAAGAAACTCTCCGTCCTCTTGGCCATTACCATCCTCTTCAATAGTGTCCAGCCCGTGCTCTCCGGTAACCTCTCTACTCATTATTGAGGCCACAACTTAGGCCATGTTTACTTCACCTTTACAAAAAATAGTAAAAATAATTTTAGTTTACCAAAAATAATTTAAATTCTTGTTAGGGCCTATTATTGTGTATAGCTATCGGGCCTATTTCTTGTGCCCTACTCTATTTGCTAGGTTGTATATATACACTTCTTTACACTCTAATGATACACAGAAAATCTATTCACTCCAATTTGACATGGTATCGGAGCCTCTATACTCTAAACACTAAATTTTTTTTCTAATCTCTGATTTCTAATCACTACTCTGCTCTAATTTCTATTACTCTAATCGCTACTCTGCTCTAATCTCTATTACTCTATTGATTGATTATCAATGGAAAACGACGGGAAACTTGATCCTTCATCACCTTTTTACCTTGGTGCCGGAGATCAGCCTGGTAATTTGATTACCCATGTGGTTTTGAAGGGCGAAAATTATCTTGCGAATTCTTTAAAAATAATTTCATTTATTTAAAAATAAAAAAACTTTAAAGAATAAATATAACATAAAATCAATAAAAAAATATTATTATTATTATTTAAATTTCGTAAAATTGATTTCAGTTCACTAAAAATAATTTTGTTCAATTCAGTAAAAAAAAAAGGTGAAGTGATATGGCCTTATTGTATGTCCATTGAGTCGTGGACACACATTAGATAGATTGTTATTTGGGCTTGTTGAAAGCATTTATTTATAACTAATTTGGGCCGCCTGTAAACACATATAGGCAGATTTATACACAATTAACACAAACCATTAAGAATAATACCCGGTATATTAGTGAATGTGACAATTTTTTTTCAGACATTCTAAAATAGAAATTATGTTTTAATTTCGACGTTTTTTACTTGTAGGTGTTGCAGTGGGATCAGGATGGCAAAGCATAGGGCTTACATTAATATCGGATGCTACTATCTACTTGGTCTACCACTTGGAGTTTTTATGGGATGGAAATTTGAGCTAGGAATCATGGTACGTAATGAATATTTCCATATGTATCTCGTTGTTGATTTTGTTGTTGTAAATGAACATTGTTTGTTATGCTTCATTTCTTCCAAATTTAATGGTTTTGTTACAATTTTATTTTTTTTTCTTTTGTTGATTATAGGGTATATGGGCTGGAATGATTGGGGGAACGGCAGTTCAAACACTAATATTAGCTATCATCACAATAAGATGTGATTGGGAAAAAGAGGTACTTCTCCGTGTTTTGTTTATATTAATCGCAACACTTCTCTTTCTAGGAAAGTTTAAATTTCTTGCAATATTAGAAGATTGATTTAGACCGCTAATGCAATTTAATGCAGGCTCAGAAGGCAAGCATGCATGTCAAGAAGTGGGCAGAAGGAATCTAACAATGATTTACAACTGTGTGATATGTATGAAAATAAATAAATTATGAATTTTTATCTGCAATACCAGTGTAACTAGTAAAGATATTAATGTAATTAATCACTTCACAGTGTTTTTAAGTATGTTTTTCAGTAATTATAAAGTACTGTATAACACATTATCGAGAGTCCTCAACAGTGGCGGACCTAGAAATTTGATAATGGGGGACAATTTCGATAATTCAACTAACATCAACCTATTTAAAAAAAAAAAACGGGTACACAATACAAGTAATTTGGGTTTGGTTGGAAAATAGGAATAAGGGAGTAGTCGAGTGGTATGGTTGAAATAAAACACCCCAAAAAAAAGGAGCGATGTTACAAGGGGGATTCGAATGCCATATTATTTTGTGATATTAATTTCTTAGCAAACATTTGCCGAAGATGCTCGTTGCAGTCCGTGACTCGTGGTCGCGTGGGTGGTGGTTCGTGCCTCGTGATTGGGAAATAGGAATAAGGGAGTAGTCGAGTGGTTTGGTTAAAATAAAGAAATTTTTTATTTTTACCACCTCTAAAAAACAACTTAATTGCTTTTACCACCTCCATAAAAAAAAACCCCCAATAATAATATGATGACACGTGGACATGATAGGCCCCACTAACGAATTTATGGACAGAATGATGTTACAAGGGGGATTTGAACCCTGATCTAGGTAAACCTGAAATTGGGCCCCTTGACATATTAATTTTAGCCCACGACCAACTTAGCTAAGGCAAACTTCTTGTTTATTTTTACACTCAATTTTATATAAATATTTTTCCAGTTTTATTTTTTTTCCTAAATTTTTTTTTTCCTCTGTTTTTTTTTTCCCGAAAGTGGGGGGACAATGGTCCCCCCTTGTTCCTTCATGGGTCCGCCCCTGGTCCTCAAGGTTACTATTGAGATCTTTAACAGTTTTATAAACTGTATTAAAAATGTATTTAGTTCACCTAATTTTAATATATCAAGTCTTATCGAAACTTATTTGATTTTTTTTAAGTAACTTAATTACTTGATCTTATTTCAACTTATATGAACTTGTTACACCTTGTTTTTTAAACTTATCATACTTGTGATGTAAATATTACTTGAATATATAGTGAAGTTCATTTATTTGAACTTGTTTGTCTGAAATAAATGAAAATAAAGTGAACATAATAGGGGCCTAGTCTAAGCGAAATGCCTTAGGAACAATTGTACACATGGAGATGGCATAGTGAAACTACAATAATTTTTATTCCAGTGAAGATTGGCTTGATTACAAGTCAGGAACATTTTTCTCCTGCATAATTATATCTATAAAAAATAATTAATTGTTTCCCAAACAAAACAATTTAGGCGTCATTACAGCTTCAAATCGATATGATGTTAGATGCCCTCTCCCCACTTCTCTACATGGAAGGTTGCTCTCTGAGCCTGCAATTCATAGCATGAAAGATCAAATTGTGAATCATCCAATCGAAGTGAAGAAAAGAATAGATACTTTGTCTTCATAATTATTTAAAAAAAAATATAAAAAAATTATAAGAATTCAACCGATTTAGATTCAAATCTATAACTTAAGTGGCTATTATTCTGCGATATTTGTTAATACTTAATAGATCTTTCATATAAAGTCGATTTAATATAATCAGTAGGTACACTTATAAGCTATGGTTCAAAAATTACTCCCTACATATTTTAAAAGGTTTTACTCCTTCACATGATATCTATATAATAAAATTTAGTCATTACAAGTGCTATATTTTGTTATAAATTAAACTAACCATCTTAGCTACTAATGAACCGAATTTTTGAATTTTAATTACCTCTTTCTCCCAATCGCATCGAATTGTGATGATAGCTAATATCACAGTTTGAACCGCAGTTCCCCCAAATATCATTCCAGCCCATATACCCTGTAATCAAATCTTTTCTTTTAGTAACAAGAGTACAAGACCAATAAAATATAGGTCATGGAGCAAAACTTAAGTCAAATTATAGGAAAATAATTACCATAACTCCTTGTTTAAATGTCCAACCCATCAAAAACCCAAGTGGTGCACCAAGCAAGTAGTAGCATCCAAGATTTATGTAAGCCACCAAGCTTTGCCACCCTGATCCTACCGCAACACCTACAAACAAAGGCCACCAAAAATTAAGAATGTTACGCCGGTGGGGCCGTATGTCATCGCTAATCAAATGTTGCCTATAGAGCTGCAACAACTATTGTTACTACGTATAAAAAGGATATATTAATAAATCATTGGAGAATTAAATGTATTATACGTACATAGTACATTTAATTGATTGCATAACAATAATGTGACAACTGACAACGTACTATATTTGGACGAGGAAAATTTTAACGCTATAGAGTAGAGAACTTCGTAACTTACCGGAGAGAACGGGTTGGACACTATTGAGGAGGATAGTGAAGGCCAAGAGGATAGAGAGCTTCTTAACCTCCTCAATAACGGGTGTACTAGTGGAGAAAATATAAGCAATGTTTTCATGAAAAAGCAAAACTAGCAACCAAAAGCAAAGCCCTATTGCAACGGACGTCAAAACTGCTACTGCTGTTGCAAATTTTGCTCCTTTTCCATTTCCTGCTCCTAGCTCATTTGACACTCTAACTCTGTTCATATTTCACACATATATTAGCATTAATATATCTCGTGATGTTCATTGCATCAAATAAGTTCATGTAAGACAAGTTCGGACAAATAACCAAACTCAACTAATTTCTAATTACCCCTATTATTATAACCAAATATAATACGAGTAATTTGTTTGCATTTAAATTGCATCAAAAGAGAGCATTTCTATAATTTTAACTATAAATATGCAAAGTTTAGTAACAGTAACTTTGGGCGTTATTACATCTTCAGCCCCGAATTTAATGAAATGCCGAAATTACCCTTTGCTCCCTTATATTGCTTTCTCCTTGCCACTTAACCCCTCTTTCTCATTCCTCAACTCTCTTTTTCACCGACTTCCTTCACTCTCTCTCAGAAACCTAGAGAGAGAAACCTTCTACACCTTCAGCAATCACCGGTCATCCATTCGATAATGGTTATGGGGCTTCGGTTCTTCTTTGGGGTAAGATCTTTATCCTTCTTATAAGCATCTAATATCAATTTGACAATCTAGGGTTTAGCTTTAAATCCATAGAAGTCCACTAATCCTTTTTTGGGTAATTCTTCTTAATTAATTATCTGAGTTTCGATTGAAAAATCAAAGGCAATTCTTCTTAATTAATTTTCTGAATTTTGATTGAAAATCCGAACTATTTCTTGATGAAGGATTGGTGATTTCGCCCTTTTGATTTTGACCTGAGAAAGGAGAAAAGAGGAGATAACTGGCTGAGTTTATATCTGCCGATGAAAGGAAAATGCTGCTGAAGATACTTTGAATGCTTACAAAGCTGCTCAGGTTTGTGTGTTTTCTTTAATTTTGTTTTGATTTTTTTTTTCTTCTGGTTTTAGGGTTTAGATGTTTTTTTTCTTCTGAATAAAAAAAATTAATTCGATTTGTATTTTTTATTTTGAATTTATTTTCTGATTTTGCTGCTCTATATACTGAGATATGGAAGAACAACTGAGATTCGAGCTAACAATCGCTAATTAAAACAAGTGCATTTTGTATAATTGGTCGAACGACTGAGATTTGATACTTAAATATGCATATATTTGATGTATTTTGTATAATTAATAAAATTCCTTCAGTTTTATAGGGGTATTTTGATGTATTTTAAGATTCTGGCATTTTTATTGGGGTTTGGATGTATTTTGGATATTTGAGTAAATTTCTGCAGTTTAATGTGAATTTTTGTGGGTTTTTGAAAATTTGAGGATTTTGTGGTTTAATTTAATTTTGTAATTGAATTGAGGAAAATTTTAATCGGAAATAATCTGAGTAATCCATGAATGAAGGAGTGTTGATGAAATTCTAAGAATTTTCGCCCTTTTGATTCAGGTTTTCTTTTTTTATCTTATTCAGTTTAATTGCTTGATTTTTTTTGGCTTGAACACTCCAATAGTGAGTCCATAATGGAAAATGGGTGTGGATTTTGGGATTCTTACCCTTGCATTTCTGATTGTGATGGCTACAGACTTAAATATGTGTGGTAAGCATTGAGACTATAATTGGATGATACCTTGCAATTGAGTGGCATCCTAGAATGCCCCTTTTTTCCTTGGGGGTCTGTAGGAAATGTATAATCTGGAGCATATCAGGCTGCTTTTGAAATATATTTCTGAATCGTCCTTCCTTTTTTCAGCTTGTTTCAGATGTATAATGTCACTTTATGAAGTCATGAGTATTGTTCAGCAAAAGTTGTCTGCATATTACAGTCTTGATGGTTTTGGTGTCAATAGGATCTCAGATTTCTTGAAGTTCTATTTACTTTTTATCATGGTGATATAAGCTGAGTGCCAGAATTCTTAGATTAATTTACTCGCACGTTTTTATCACTACCACTCCTTAATTTTATTCTTGATAATCTTTTTAGACTCTCTTAAAAGTTTCATTTTTACTTGGGTGCTCTTTCTTTGTCGGACGGTTCCTTATAATGATTCATGTTAGCCGAATCCAAATCATTTTGGGACTAAGGCGTTGTAGGCTCCCTAATATTTTTTTCAATTTTTTCTTGGATAAAGGCTCTATATCTTTTCCATTTATGTTGTCACGCATTCGTGTTAAATGGGTGTGTAGTACTGCTAAGGTAGTGTTTGACTTTGAATGGTGTTTTGTTTTTATTATTTATTATTTTAATTATTTTCTTCTTACTATTCCATTCAATAGCTATGCTTAGCCCGGCAGATTGTGCCTCAATATGTATTACAGTGGCTGAAATAAATCATTGAGCTTACATCTATTTATATTAAAATTTAGAGATGTTTCTCTAGCTCAGACCAACTCCAAGTCCTTTTTGTTGCTGACGTTTTCTCTGAAATTGATTCTTCAAGCTGAATGTGCTTTTTTTTCAACGGTATTTTGTGTTGTGCTGGATTCTTCCTATCAAGGACACATTTGGTTGTGAAATTCTGATGAAAGTTATTCAACAGAGATAATTTGGTGGAGGGAAGCAGGAATGATTGGATTACTGAAGTGACGTTGGTGGGGTTCACATCATTTGAAGTTTTTGCACTCCAACATAGTTTTTCAAAATCAAAGGAGGTTAGTGAAAAAGTAGATTCAATATATTCCTGTTTCTTAGTAGTTTCCTTGATGCATTGTTTTTGGACATCAACTATGGGGTGTGACCACCACTTCCTCCACCCTTCCTCTTGGAAGAATAAAGATTAACTAGGAAGAAATTTTGTGCATTGGAAAAATATATTACCCTTTGAATTCTAAGCATTATGTGGAATTGTCGAAAAGAATTTAAGCAGGGTCCCATAATCCCATTATTGAGGATTTGAGCTGGAGAAGGTTATTATAGTGTTAAAAGTTTCCATGCTTTGTTTTTTCTTGTGGTGTCTTGTTGTAGCTTGTAGGGCTTTATTTCACCTTTTGGAAGCCCGTGGAGTCTACTTAAACTCAATTTAATACTACTCCCTCCGTCTCTCTAAGGTTGCCCCATTGGCCATTAGAGTATATAATAGTTTTAGTTTTAGTTGGGCATTAGAGTATATATCTTTAAGTTTTAGTTGGGTGGAGTTGATGCGAGAGAAAACTGGTGGGTTCAGATGTATGTGAGAGTTATGTGGCGGTCATTCTTGACCATTTGTGGTATGGGCCAAACTTAAAGTAATACACCAAAAAGAAAATTGGGGCAATCTTAGAGGTTAAGAGGGATTACTATTATTTACTCTTAGGGACATAATTGAAATTACTTTAGTTATTGACAAAACCTTAAGCAGTACAGCCCCTGTGATTATGGCAGACTGAGTTAGTTGAGCATAAATTCCCAGGAATTATTTTTTTGTTTAACCTTTTGATTTATGTTCCACGATTACATGGTGTGCTCACTATGTTGGCATCATCCATTGTAACTACTAATCAATGTTGACATTTTTGGCAGGAGGAAAGTCTAGAGTCTAGGCATGTTTGTTGCCTCTTATATTATTGCATGCTTCTTTGCGTAAGACATCTTTGTTGCTTCTGTTAGGTTGCTAACCTTTGATAATTCCGAGAGCATTGCATAATCATTTCCTTGAATTAATGGCGTTGGCCGCTGTATGGTTTCTATTTTGGATTGGGTTTGTGTGTGTTCTTATTAATACTTCATGTCCAAAATTTGTCTTATTTGACTTTGCAAATCCAAAATTTGTTAACTTTAACCATGTATATATGAATACAAAAGTCCTCCACATGAAATCTTATTAGATTTGTGTCACATACAAGTATATATTAATATTAAAGAATTTACATATTTAATTAACTGTCAAAGGTGTTTTTTGTAAACCGCATAAAGTCAAATGTTAAAATTAATTTTAATTATATTAGTTATATTATGTTGATGTCGTAGTAGTCTTAATAGATATGATTGGCTGATAATAATAGACTTGTCAAATTATTTAGGAAATATGCTTGTTTAGTGGTTGGAATTTATAGATGGTCCGTTTAGATTTGTTGGTGGAAACTGGAAAGGTTCCTTGAGTCCTTTTCAATTTCATGTCACAATAATAAAATTAATACTTCGTAATAATTATCAGATTGAAGTCTGGTTGATAAATGATGATCCAGGTAATATCAATGAAAGGGAGACTCTTAAGTTTTTGCTTATTTTGAAGTTTTCAGTTGCTTTAAATGCTGTTGTCTTCCAAAGAGTTCGTAGAGTTAGACCAAGTATTTGCTTGGGAAGCTGTCAAATGGGTATGAATCTTGTATATACGGGCTCTAATGTACGAAGTATATGTAATTACCACGAGGAAGCTTATAACTATTTATTCTATTTTTGTAAAGGGTATCTATATTCTCCCATTGCTACAACAATATCTTATGGAGTAACTTTTTTTCAATTTTGCACATTACTACTTCGTATTAATTTTGTTAGTAAAAGCAGGAATATCCGTGTTCAATTTTCACCCCTTTACAATTTCGGACATGAGTTTGCTATCTTACTATCTATGACCAAATTAATTTGCCTCCTTGATTTTTTGTTTGTTGTCGCAGGTATAGTTGTTGGTATGCAAAATTCAGAGGCGAATGACATAAGAAACTAAATTTACGAGTATAAAATAAGAAATTGAAGACCATTGTAGAGGCAAATGAGATAAAATTTGGCATGCCAAAGGTGTGTAAATGGCATTGTTGCTGCTCTATTGATATTACTGTATGCCTGCACTCAAGTCACAACGTCGTCTGCAGCCACCTATATTCCCATACCCAAAACCACACCCTTACTGCTTCAATTACCCATCTTCGTTTTGGGCCTCGGCCATTATTATTTACTCCCTCCGTTTCTTTTAAGGATGACGATTTTTCTTTATGTTCCACGTCGGCTATGAGTTGGTGAGAAACTAGAGGAGACATATTGCGATGAACGGCGGCAGGGGTACTGGTGATGGCGAAGTTTCCGGCATCAGACTGCCGCTATCTTAGGACTGCAACCACTTAAAATATAGACGAAACTCTCAAACTTGTAATGTATTTTCTTTCCCTTTCAATTTGTTGTGGTTGAATAGAAAGATAGAAAAATTGCTCATTTCTGAAATATTAGGCTTCAATTTTTATAAACAATACTTCTAAATAGCAACTTCTTAATTCGGGCATTCTTTTTTGTCATTGAACTATAAGTTTTGAGTTTTCTTCTCATTTTGGTTATAATATTCATGGGTGTAAAAATTTCTACTTTACTTGAGCTTTGTCATTCATTTGGGTATCCATGTCTGTGAAATGATCTGATACAACTCATAATTTTGTTCTTTCTATTCTCTTAAATTTATTATCTGCAGTATGATCTTATATGATAGTAATTGTTAGTTCAATTATGATTGCATTTGTATAATTGATCGTAATCTCATAAAACCCAAAAGGGATCTTATTTAATTGTTATTATATACTTGTGTATGTATTTCCTTAAAAAATTATTAAATTCATGTATTTGTTGGGTTGGATTTAGAAAAGATTAAGACAAAAAAAAAAAAGGAAAATTATGATGAACTAAATTTACAGGTTGATTTTAGGCAATGTATTTGATAAGACCCTTATATAATCTATGTAAGCTTTGAGTAGAAGATGAAGAGTTCTAAATTTTGATTAAGAAATTGATGATTTACTAAAATTGAGTATTTTTTCATTATTAGCAGGAGTTGAAATCAATAAAATGTGTATAATGGAGATGTGATTGACAATTCAGGAGTTGAAATCATGCATTCCATGTTCACAAGCACACATTAATACTCTTAGAAAAACACATTTAATCAACCAACTAAATGAGGATTGAAAAAATAATTGCTTGAGAAGGAGGAGATGCTTGAAAATGGAAAATAATGAGGGAAATAAAATTGGGAAAGAGGTAGATGAGAAGGGAGCCATGGAAACAAACAAAATGAATGGTGATGAGGAAAATCAAGAATAGTTAGGTCATGAAATAGAGGGAAGGGCAAATATGTAATTCACTACTTTATGATAGAGGACGTACGGAGAATTATAGAGATACAGAGAGGGGGTTGCCATTGGAGAGAGAAAGAGATAGAGAGAGAAAGAGATAGAAAGAGATCTCGCGACAATAGAGGGAGGAAGAGGTGCGAAGCCCTTCAAAACCATATTTAATGTTTAATAGTGAAAAGGCTACGAAGTAAGGAAATGATAGAAATTAGGAGTATGAGAATGAAAAAAAAGGTGGAGAGGCTTCTACAAAGGAGATCGAAAGAGCTGAACATTTTAGAAGACCATTTCTATAACGTTATCAAGGGAAATAATGAGCATTTTTTTAAAAAAATTCTAACATTTTAAAACCATAAAAGTCAATTGTAAAAATTTAGAGAAAGATAGAAAGGGAGAGGAGAGAAAGTGAGAAGCGATAATAATGAGAGCAAGTGTTAAAAAGCAATAAGTTAATGATCATTGTAAGTTGCAAGATTAAGAGTGTAAAAATGAAGAAAGACAAAAGGAGAGGATGGAGCAAGTGTATTCTCTGAATCGTATCATTCACAGGGAATCATAGTATGTGTATTCATATTGATTTATTTAGATGAAGAATGTCTGTATTTGTCTATTATATTTTTTTGGCTTGCTTTAATATTTTTTTTGATATCCTGTTTTTTTGATGTAGAATGTCCCGGTAGATTTTGCCCGAAAGCATTTTCAAAACCTTACAGAAACGACTAAGGTTCTTCTGCGTCTTTATGATACAAATTTTGAGGCTGAGCTGAAGGTTCAAATTCTTGAAAATAAAATTGTGAAGTGTTTTATCAGAAAAGGTGTTGATAAATTGATTGATTATTATGAAGTGCAAATTAATGAAGGCGCTGTGCTAAAGCTTAGGCAGGGGAAGGTTATTATATTTGATGTTTATCTGCAACTTAATAATGATTCTTGATTTACCTATTTAAAATCATTAATAAATGAATTTCTTTAGTTGATCTAATTTTGTGAGTTACTTTTAGAGTAGTATAGGTGATTAAATAGATTTGAGATTTGTGGAATATTGATAATTTCTTCTATCATGTATGTTGATTTAATAAAATTGTATGATTTTGATGTTGAATTAATTGTATGTTTACATAGTATAAAGTTTCCGAAAAAAATGGAAATATATTACAAATCTGTTCAAAATACTATTCCAAATTAAACTCTAAATATAATCTTTGGTAATGGTGCTTTCTGTAAAAGCATGCCTTACTATATAATGCTACATCTGTTTAGTCAAAAGGATGGTCTCCTAAACGAGCTATTTAAATTTGCATTGTTTTAAATGTAGTATGAAGGAACAAAATCAAAAGGATTAAATCTAATTTGTGGGTTAATGAATAGAAATCCGCTCTTTTAGCTTTTTGTTTGTAGCTCTAGAAACAACTGAATAAGCTTAAGCAAAAACGCATTTTTTGATCAATTGTATATACAATGCGCTATTTTTACAACACAAATAAATCACATATAAAATTACTTCTAATAAACGGTTTGTAAAATATACTCTATAATAGTCTTCACTATTTTATTACAAAACCGCAATGTAATAATGAATACTACATGGACCATACAGATTCGCGAAAATTACTTATCTAACCGTCGAGGGGGCACGCGCTACGCGCGTGCACCAACGACTAGTTTATTAAAAATGTAACAAATTGAACATTAAATGGAATATTGAACAACTAATCTTTAGTTAAAAAGTGGGAGCACTTCATATAGATTTTAGTAAAATAGACATTTATTTTGAGATGGCATAAACTTTTAATTTTTATTCCGTAAAAAACAATAAAGAATCATTTGAGTCATAATAGAAAGCTAATTGATTGCACTTTCTTGTACCTTTGCCTAATGTCTACTACTCCGTGTGACATTTCTATCATAACAATCAATTAATAAAAAGCTAATTGATTGCACTTTTTGTAAATTAAAAAAAAAAAAAAAAAATCATAACTCGTCATGATTTAAGTAATTCAATTTGAAAGTTTCATTTGACTTACATTCGCGTTTATTATAAATTGATTTTAGTATGATAAATGGACCATCCTAATAAATATTAAATACTGTATCAAATTAATTTTGAGATGAATATACACAAATGTTTTAATAATACGTTACGGACTTACGGGTCAATATTGCGGAGTTTAAAGAGCACGAGAAAGAGAAGCCAGCAACTTACCCGGCGCCAGCAAAGAATGCAAACGGAATCATCATCTCCCACCCGTTGATGCTCATGCTGACAAATCACCACAAAATTACTCACGTGTTATCAATATTCAAACAACACATTTTTATGATAAAGAAAGAGGTGGCCTCATTTGCTTCAATAATGAACCAACCCACTTTTGTCAACAAACATACATTTACTTTTTTTTTTTTTCCGAGTATATATCCTTTAAAATCGTCTTTATAGTATACTAATATACTATACATAGTGCGGTCTATTCTCATTGACTGAGCTGAGCTAAATTGAACTGAACTTATTAGAGCTGAGCTGAACTGAACTGAACTTATTAGAGTTGAATTGAACTGAAATGAATTGAAGTAAATATTTTATAAGAGGAAGAAAATTAGGAGCTAAAATGAATGAAAGTAAATATTTTATAAGAGAAGAAAATTAGGAGCTGAACTGAACTGAAGTTATTAGAGCTAAACTGAACTAAACTTATTAGAATTGAACTGAACTGAAAATAATCGTATCAGAACAGGCCCTACGTATATAAATTGATTCTAGATTCAACCAAAAATTTAAGCATCACATACATATTTAAGACCACAACTTTACTCTCGCTTCTCTTACTCTTTCACCAATTTTATTTGCCTCATCAAAACTTAAAGATGTAGGGCCTGTTCATATTTACTTATTTTCAGTTCAGTTCAGTCCAGTTCAGTTGAATTCAGTTCAGCTCCAATCAGTTCAGTTCAGTTCAGTTCAGTTCAGTTCAGCTCCAATCAGTTCAGTTCAGTTCAGCTCCAATCAGTTCAGTTCAGTTCAGTTCAGCTCTTAATTTCCCTCTTTCATAAAATATTCATTTCAGCTTAGTTCAGTTCAGTTCAGTTCCAATCAATTCAGTTCAGCTCCAATCAGTTCAGTTCAGTATGAACAGGCCCGTAGTATGATGGATGGGATGGAGGAAATAATATTAAAAAACGGGTCCACTAGAAAGGTGGTGGTTTTGGAAACTAATCCATTCTTTTATGAGGACGGATAAAGGCTTATATTCATTAATCATTATAGAAGTGTCAATTCAGATATTTAAATCAGATTCAATTATATCATTTTAAATTTAATTCATGCTAAATTATTATTATTAAAAATGACTTATTATGCACCACAATCTGAATGTTGATATTTAATAGTACAAGTGTATAAGAAATAAAAACGATAGAGATATTATCGTACCATATTGATAATGCATCAAGGGCTATCTCAGCATTCTTCAGATTTCCAGTCATCAGTATCAATACTCTGTAGTACCAGTTTTCCAAGCTGTTGATTATAATATACAACAAGTTAGTTGGATCTTTAAAAAATATCTAAACAGCTAAAAATAAAATAATACTCCGTAGTAAAATAAACTCCCTTCATTTTGCATTACCATACTACCATGTGATAGAATCCAATTAGGGACAAAGGTAATTAATAGCTAAGATGGTATCCCCTAATTAAGGCACCAAGACTAATCAACATTCATGTGCATGGTTTTAAAATTGGATCTTTACGCTAGATTCCATTTTTATTAGTAATAGAAAAGAGGTTGAATTAATAAATAATTGGAGAAAAAATAACAAAGGTGACATAGATTATGTTATCTTTGTGGTGGTTTTATAGGCTCGAAAAAACAAAAGTTATGGAGAAAAATACACAAAGGTGATATAAATTAGATTATACTTTTAAAAAATTTAGGATCAAAAACAAAAGTTATGGAGAAAAATTAACAAAGTACATTATACTATTTTTGTGGTGATTTTATAGACTCAACAAAAAAACAAAAATCATGGAACCAATTAATGAAATACTCCATACATCTATTATCGAGTCAATCACTTTTAAAAATAGCAGATATTTCCGAAAGTGAAATTTCTTTATTTGTTCTACTATATCAATTATTGATATGCACTTACAATTTATCTTATTCGTAAAATCTGAATTTTATTTACTTCATCTAAATGAACTTACTCTTATGTTAATCAATAGTCAAATCAAATGGAACAACTGTATCGTGTCCCAAAATAAGTCTGATTTTTTAATGACTCGTAATAACCCGCCTAATAATCAAATTAAGCAACCATCAATATGGGTTATTTTACAATAGAAAAGGAAGAGAATTACCAAAGCATAACTCCGGAAGCAGTAGATAATTTAACAAACTCCCAAAGGCCAGAAAAAGCCTCCATAGAAAAACCCTGCCAAGTTAAAGGACACCCACCAAAAGCAGTGTAACCAAACAACCCAAAAACCAAAACCCACCATCCAAAATTTTGGGTAACAGCCACACCAATGATGCCACACTTGAACACGGACACAAACAACCATGACACAAACAACTGCACCACCAACGCCACCACGGACACCCACGCGACGACGTTGGCCTTAAGCTGGCATTGCAAGAACCTTTGTAGTGGAAATTGAAAGGCAAAGCTGAAGTGAAGTGGTAACATCCATAACGCCACTACTCCGGCCATTTCGGACACGTCGTCCGGTTGGCCTAGTAGCTTCATCATAGGACTAGCAAATATGTACAAAGGTAACAAAAGTATGCAACATATGAATAACACTATCCATGACCTTTGCATGTATATTCCTAACATGTGGTACTTTTTTGCTCCATATGCTTGTCCACATAGTGTCTCCAAAGCACTTGCCATACCCAACTGTCCAAAAAAAAAAACATCATTTTTGAGGAAAAATTACTTAATTTTAGACAAGAAAAAAAAAAGTGTTGGATTGAATAATAATCAAGCATTAAATTTAGACAACCATAAAGAAAATTTAAACTTGTTACTATGATAAATTAATAAAACAAGTCCCGGCCCACAATATTGTTGCACTTAAACATCATGTATGCCATAGCAAGCAGTTCAAAGAAAATACAGTTTATAGTCAAATTCATAAATCTTTGGACAATTTTAAAAAGATATTTAACAATTAACATAAGAAATTATAATTATCAGATTGATGCAAACTAAATACAGATTAGTTGGTAAACAAAACCTAGGAATCTAGGATAGCTTAGATTAATTCACGTCTATAGTACAACCTTTTGTTGCTTTCTATTGACAAAAAATATAGTAATAAATAATAAAGTACTCCGTACTAATCAACAATCGATCAATCTACTCAATTATTAACAAACTAGATATCAATAATTAAATATATATATTATACTAGAACATATAAAATTATATTATGAATATGTAGATTTTATAACATGAAACCTCACTTAAACATGTATTTACATTACCATGAGACCAAAGTCGAACCCAACAATGACATTACACCCAATAGAGATAGCAGCAAGCTCAAGGTCACCAAGGTGGCCGGCGAAAGCTTGGGTAGCCACCAACATAGTGTACGAGGCGATACGAGCGATAATCGAAGGACCAACAACGTGCCATAACTTCTTAGATTCAACCCATACTCTTCTTACAAGAGTATCATCGTTATCTTCATAATAATCAAGAGTATTATTAGAATCATGTAACAAATGCTTTGGAGATTGAAATTGATCACCTTCATTATTTGAAGGATTGTAGCTTTTCAAAAGAGGAACTTTTTGGTCATCCAATTTCTTGGAGCCATTTTCCCTGGACATTTTTTTTAAGGACTAGTTTTGAGAGTAAGAGAGTCCAATTTTTTTCTTTCTAATCTTTAAAGAAAAGCGATATGGTTGGCAAGTGGAGAGAGAATTTATTATTTAAAAAAAATGAGTGAGAATATAATGGATACGTGATTGAACTTTTTTATTGTATAATACAATTTTTGTAATAATTAAAATATTGACAAGAGAATAATTTTTGAATTTCCCTTTTTCGGTTATTATAATTCCAATTTTATTATCCATGAATAATATCAATATTTTAAGTTGTTGTTCATGTCCACATATTTTTTAGAACTATGCCAAACACTATTGAGATCGGACTTTTTCGGGATAATCGATCAAATTGTGTACAAAGTAAGAAAAATTGTATCTAGTGATGACTTGACTTTTGGCCAATATCAATTATTAATGAGTTACGGGATTTAGTGTCTGTTCTCTTCCGTTGAAATTCAGTTCAGTTCGGTTCGGTTCAGTTCAGTTCAGTTCTTAATTTATGTCTAATAATATTGCTAATGATATAAAGCCAAATTTCATTCTTTTAAGCTCTTATTACAACAACAACAACGACAACAACAACAACAACAATAATAATAATAATAATAATAATAATAATAATATTAACAATAATAATAATAATAATCAATAAGTAATAAATAATAATAATAATAATCCCCTCAAAAAAAAAATAATAATAATAATAATAATCAATAAATAATAATAATAATAATAATAATAATAACAATATTTTTAAAAAAAAAAATTAAATTTATTTAAATGGAATAGATACATGTAAGTGTTTTGTGTTCTTTTGTCATAATACTATTTTATTTTTAAATTAAATAGTATATGTGTTTAAAATGTTTAGAGGTTTCAAGTTTTTAATATATTTTCCATAAATTTTATTATTATATAGTATATTTTTCGTAAATATTTTAATACGTACATTTGTATATACACATATGTATAGTAATAAATAATCAATAAATAATCAAATATCACTAATCCGTAGTTAAAAATCACTAATTAATAAGTTCAGTTCAGTTTAATTCAGTTCAGCTGAGTTCAGTCAATCAGAACAGGCCCTTAGTTTGTAATTTTGAGGTTATAAAGGATATGGAGAAAATTCTTCCCACTACAAGTATCTGGCAGCAAGGATTCATGACCATTCTCCTCACTTTCAAGTGACCAGCTTGTAAATACTAGACCAAAAAAAAAAAGTGAAGATTGAGTGGTTGAGCCATTGATGTCCGACTAGAATCATTCTCCTTATCTTAAAGCTTAAAAGAGAATTGCAATTATTAACATAAATTTCGAAATATTAAAAAAAAAAAAAAAAAAAAAAGTACCTTAAAATCAGCAAATTTATTAAACTACAATGGTAATCTTATACTTGTACTACATTTAATCTTGTTCTAAAACACCAACACAACTCTTCCTATTTATGGATAATTACAATATTTTGATTATGATAAAAGTATAAAACATATTCTTGAACCTCAATCATCCGCTTTGAATTGGTCCCCTAACATGGTATCAGAGCTAGCGTGATACAAAGGTCACAGGTTCAAATCTCATCCATCCCTCTTTTAAAATGGACCCCTTTTCAAAATGGAATTAATTCACCCGCCGGATATGGGAGGGCCTGTGCAGCATCCATATTTCAAGTCCAAAGGGTATTTCATGTGAAGAGGAGTGATAAAATATAAAACATATTCCTAGATCTCAAGTGTGTCAATTCAATCATTATATTAATTAATTAGAAACGAACGATAAGTAACAAGTTTGTCCAATACTCCATATCAATCAAATATTCCGTACCAACAGTAATCTCAATTTTCCACCACTATACACGTCACATATTCAACTACGTTACCAAACTCAAGTGTACAATACATTTCTACTACTCCAACAATTATTAAAACTAGTTAACTAGTCAAATTTTCAACAAAATTACACAGGTTCACATCAATGTTGCCCAATTTTTAAAAAGTGATGTTATAATTTAATTTGTATAATATTTCCAAGAAGTACAAAAATCGGAATATATAGATCGACGTCATGGATGATGAATTTGGTAAGTGTATATATGTGTTGACTGTTGAGTCGAAAAAGAGGTGCTAGAGTTTGAGTATAAATAATTTAGTATAGTGAGTACAAGTTGCAAACTTGCAATGTTTGTCTGTTTACAAATTGTGGCCCTTTTTAATTTATGTCGTACTAGCTTTATTAGTCTTCATGAAGTTTTTCTATACGGTTCAAAAAAATTATTATTATTATTTTTACATAAAGTATTTAAGTATATTTTTTCTTTCAAGTTTTATCTGATGTTTTGTACTCGTACTAATTATATTTGATCGGCTTTGTGTTGTCTCTTTTGTCTGCGTTTGTCTTTTTGTTGATTTGGATTTTGTGATGCAGAATTTGCCAACATACGCTTCTAGGAAAGTCGAGAGATAAATTTCAGTCACCGAGCTTCATGACTCAATCATCTCTTACGCCACATACATAGGGTTTGTTCTGTTTAGTTTAATTTCAGTTCACTTTATCTCTAATCAGTTCAGTTCAATTCAATTCCTGATTTCTTTCTCTCATTAACAACTCAGTTCATCCAATCAGTAAATCAGAACAAACCCTAGTACTAATGTCACGTGCCGACTACTTTGCCCGAGTCACGCACCGTGCGCCACCCGCTTACAGTCCGTCGTAAGACGAGTCAGGCTTTCTCCTTGGCACTAACTCCTTGTGCCCACGTAGCACAACTCCTTGTGCTGCTAGTATTAGTTTGCTAGCACGATCCCTTTGTGCTAACAAGTCCCCTTTGGTTGAACTAAGTACTCACCCTTAGTGCCTTAGTCCGAATTTACGACTAAGTGTCGTAGACAATTGAGCACCCAAGCTATCACCCTTGCTGGTATGCCCGATCACTCACTTGGCACCCTCGTGCCTTAGTTTTCCTCACACTCTCTAAGTGTTGGAAGGAAAGGATTGAGTTGCAAGAGAACACAAGTGCTTAAGAAAGGCTTTTTGTATTGCTCTCAACTTATAACTCTTAACTTGTTGATCTCTCAACTTGAATGTACAAATGATGCCTTGGAGCCTATTTATAGTGCTCCACCCTACTTACTCTCTTTCTCTAGAATGTTCCTAACCTCCTCAAATGGAGGGTTCTAGACTACAAGGATCTAGAGTTTTCCCACCTCCTTAGGAACTACATACATGGAGGTTTCTACAAGCTTCCTACCTAGAATGCTAAGGACTAACCTAGAACATTCTAGAACTTTACATTCAAAATGTACATACATAGAAGGCCTTAGAGACTTCTAAGATGCACTGGATGAACCTTGAATATTCTAGAGACATCCTCTCTAGAATACTCCTCCAAAAGAACTCCGTAGATAGCTCCGGAACCTTCTAGAAGCTTCCCACGTTTCCCGGGCTACCTGCTGCACAAACTTGTATTTCGGGACCTTGTCTCGGAAAACTGACACCACCATCGTCTTCCTTGGCCCAAAATACGGTGGACCCCCAAATTTGGGCCCATTTGGACTTCATTTGGGACTCCAAACGACCCATTATTGTGTTACTGTCAAGTGGGTGTTCACTAGGATTTTAAGCAAGGTGCAATATAAAGCTCTTTAGGGGGAAGTGCTTACCTGAGCACCAAGGCAAGCCCCCTAGCCCCGATTGTTGCCTTGCTGCCTAGTGACCCTCTTGACGCCCATCCTTGGTGTGGGAGATGACCCGTGACACTAAGCTCTCTTCACTTTTTTATTACTTTTGTAACTGCGGATTTCTTCATAATTTTTGGAGTACGGGAAAATAGAAAGAAAAATATAGAGGACTCATATAATAGAAGAAAAATAGAGAGAATTCATTAACTAACAAAAATAATTTATTTATTTTTTTTTATTTTTTTTTGGAAATACTAACAAAAATAATGTTTAATGTACATCATAAATTAAAACTTAAATGATGTATATTTTTTTTCAAAATGACGCATTTAAATGTACATTTTAAAAATAACCCTTAATTATAAACCTAGGTGTAACATTTTTCTAAATGAAAATATTTTATACATTTCTATCATTTCTAATCTCATATCCTTTAATTTCATACTTTGATAAAACTCTCGCCCATACATAATATTCTAACAAATTCAATTAAACAAGTTAAATCTATGCACAAGTCAAGCTTGTTGCATTTAGAAAAGGAAGTAATACAGTATTTTATATATCTTATTAATCAAATAATCCGTGGTAAGATATGCACTAATTTATTATGTAAAACTATTGAATAAAGATCAAAGTAAAAATTATACTCCGTACAATATAGAAATAGTAATAAAGATGTAGTGCAAGTGAAATTAGTATGGACTACCGAGTACTCCATACGAGATACCATATACGAGATACCATACCATATAGAAATTAGTGATTGATTGGATCCAAAATAATTGCTGGCCCTTGTGAAAATTGAACAGCATAAAACATTGATCATCTAATTGCAAGCTTAGCAGTTACCCTCATATGCGCCATATTAATTACTACGAGCTATATCTGGGCATTACTTTAAGGGGTCGTTTGGTTCGCACGGGGTAATCGAAATGGAATGAACAAAGGGAAAGACAAGGAATGGAATGAAAATACCTAAATTTGGGATGTTGTTTGTTTAAAAATCAAAGGGAATGAGACCCACTAGTCCCACCACCACACCACCACCAACCAAACCACCACCAAACCACTCTCCATCATTTCCACCACCGAACCACCACCAAACCACCGCCGAACCTCCCTCAACATTCGCCTCCCTTCTCCGGCCATCCCCACCCCTCGCAATCAGCCCCGAAAAAACCCTAGATCGAATTGAACTTCATCGCTCAATCAAAACAGGGGCGGTGATGAAGGATTTCGAGGGATGGGGGAAGTGTGACAGCCTCCGACGAGGGTTAAGAGAGTTCCGACGAGGGTTGAGCTAGTTCCGACGAGTGGCGGAGGATGTTTTTGCGACTAGGGGAATTTTTTGCGGGGGAGGGGATAGGCGGCGACGGTCGTGGAAGGTCCGACGAGGGTCGGGGAGGGGCGGCGAGGGTCAGG